ATCTCCCTTATGCTTTTTGGTCCTGCTAGTCATGGCGTAGGTAAACGGCGTTTATAGCTCGCTTTGATCGGAGTGCTGTAGGGTCCCAACACTTGCCGTCTCGGCACGCGAGGTGACATCATTGTATTTCACGATTCATTTGTTTCTCTCCCTTTAAGATTAAAAAATTTTGCCCGCCCTCATGATCATTTTATCCCCCTTCCACCCCCTTTCTTCACCACACCGGGGCCCCACCCCCCCCCAACCTTCCTCTTCTTCCCCCCCCGCCCCTCCCAGTCCTCATCCTCCGCCACATCCAACGGATCCACCCCCTGCGCCTTCAAAAACCTCAGCGAGGGACCCTGTGTCGTAAACTCCGGGTAAAGCGACTCCTCCCGGCGGCGTGGCGAATGCGGAGGGGTGGTGGTGGGCGTGGTGGTGGAGACGGTGCCGGTGCGGACTTCGGTCTGGCCCCAGCCTCGTTTGCGAGTCGGGGTCTGGGTCGGAGTCGGGGTCTTCTGGGTCGGGGTGTGGGTGTGTAGCCTGGCAGGGTCCCGGTCCCAGTTGTCGTCGGCTGGGTCGGCCACGTCAAGCGGGTCGATGCCTTGGGCGGCGAGGATGGCGTGGGAGGCGCGGCGCGAGTTGGGGTCGTGGTCGTCGCTGGGGTGGGAGGTGGGCTTGGAGATGGGGTTTGTGTTGGGACTGGAGTTGCTCATGTTGGGTGGTTGGTTTTGGTGTTGTTGGGTTTTGGGGTAAGCTAGAGGGGGCTCTGGGTTGCCGTCTGGTGGGTGAGGAGAGCGGTGCCGGGTCTGAGAAGTGATGCGATGCCGGCCCGTGGATGAAGCGGATGGGCCTAGGCTTGAGAGGTTGGGTGGTCGAACTGGGAGTCAATGACGACGATTTAGTCTGCTGGTTGGGACTGCCTGGATTTGGTGAGTTGCTCTTTCATAATATGAAATTATGAGAGATGAGTTGTAAAAGAATTCTTGGGTTCGCTCAAGATTGAGTGGTATAAATGCTGGAGAAAGCCGGGTCACGGGGTGGCTTTGAACAGAGTTGAGAAAATGTATTTTGTTCATGCCAGTTATTATTTAATATTCATGGCTTGTGCAGGGCTAGGAGCATGGAACAGTTGACTGTGCGTAGAACAACTGAATATATACGGTGAGAACAGGCAAGCATGCTGATACTTGGAACAGTTTGTCGTCCCATCTTACTCCTGGAAAGGGAAAGTCAACAAAGAACATAGTCTAGTACTTGGTTGTAATGAACCCATGCAAAGAGCCACCTGCCGTACTACATACATGAGGACAGGATAAAGGAATATGGAAATGAAGAGAAAAGAGGACAGAGAATGGGGCTATCTCACGTAGGTAGCAGACAATTAGTTTACAGCGGAAGGAAAAGGACGATAGGTGTCAATTGAGCAATGTTCCAAGTAATATACAAGTTACATAATAATGGTTCATCATCACCGATCAAAGGATTGAGACAAGGTAGGGTATCCGTCATTTGATCCCCCCTTTTTTCTTACATGTTCCAGTCCTTGCTTTGAAAGAAACCATTGCCTAGCATATACGTTAGTAAGGGCACTATGGGAAACACTAGCTATTGGCGGTAAACACTTCCTTGGTATTACAATTCTTAAATTATAAAACTAGGATCCCAGATCCATATTCAGGGTTGATGTTCAGGGCACCAGTGCATTACTCGACCGTGGGTCCTCGGAAACTCCTCACTCCACTTACCATCGTGATAGTTCATCTGATACTCAAGGGAGGCTGCTGGGTCCCTCTGGTTGATAGGTAAATCTACCGCGGTAACTTCGACTCGCACTTACTATAAACCAGCCCATAATGGCAAATAGGACAGGACAAGCAGGGAGGAAGCTGCTCTCCTTCTTCATCATGATCATCATCATGATCATCATCCTCTTCTTCCCCCTCTTCTTCTTCTACTCCTTCTTCTTCCTCCCCCTCCTCTTCTTCCCCCTCTTCTTCTTCCCTCTCCTCGTCTTCTGCTTCCCCATCTTCTTTCTCATCTTCCTCTGCTTCCTCTAAAGCCTCTCCGTCCTCTGTTTCGTCGCACGGATCATCATCATACGACATCTTTATGTCGTCCTCCTCGTGGGGGCTACCCTCTATCTGCTCAAGAGCACCGTCATCGTCACGATCGACGATCGAGTCATGGTAGTCTTCCACGTACCTTGTCCAGCAGGCTTTGCAGAACATATGGCCACATATCAGAATAACACCAGGCTTGAGGTGGCGAATGTCATCGTGGTAGATGGGCTTGAAGATGGGCAGGCCAAGGATAGACAACTGAGTATCTAAGCAGAGAGAACAGCGGACGAAAGTTGGAATGGGCGGGAAGTTCTGACCCACGGCCTCACCTTTGATGCCCAGTTTCACAAACTTGAAGGTGGGCGCTTCCATATGGTTGTTCCACCACCCGACATTCCTCAAAAAATCCAGATCTCCTTCCCAATCATCGCTGTCCCATTCGCTGCCCTCATCGCTCTCGGTGCTCGCCTCACTAGGCTCATACGAACCATCATTGCAGTCGCTATCCTTGCCCCCCCCACTGCGCACCTCGTCGCCATCCCCCCCCGCGCCGCTCTCCTCAACCGTCTCCCAGCTGTCGCTCGCTTCGCCGCTGCCCGCCTCCTCGCTGCTCGTATCACTGCTCGTGTCATCAAACACAAAGATCGGCGACGGCGGCGGCGCCCGTAGCCCATTCCGCACGCTGTGACACGAGTGCGCCCTCCCCTCCATCCACATCGCCACCAACTCGTCCGAGTCGATGCTGTCGCCGCCACAGAGCCCCCCACACAACTTCTTGGCCACCACACGGCGGTCCGGCTCGTCGCCGCTGAGACCGCACGCCTCGACGGAGGCGGCTAGGTCATCTAGCGGTCGCTTCTTGCCGATGGACAGCGCCGCCAGGTTCTGGGTGATGATCCGCAGTGGTATGGACTTGGTAATAGGCCGCCTTACCGTGGGATCAGGGGCACCGCTGGTCCCAGGTATCGTCGTCTTCTGGCCAATGGCTGCCGCTATCTTGCGGTCGCCGGGCACACCAGTCATTGGACGGGGTGGAGTTGGGTTACCTTCCATGGGGTGGTTGGATATGGTGATTGATGTCTTGGGTGATGCTGTGTGGGTGTGTGTTGGGTTAGAGTTGGAACGGATGGGATGGAAGGGATGGAGACTTGGCTCGGTTGATGAATCGACAGACAGAGAGAGAGACGCAGGACTGTTTGGGTGGCTTGAGTCTATATTATGTATATTGAGGGTCGGTATATTAGTTAAGAATAAGGAGGGTGGCAAAACAGTGTAGCTGTTCTATGGGCGCCAAAGTTAGCAAAGACCACTCATCAGCGTTGTTTAGCACATGCCTAGATAGAAATCCAAATATGTAAGTTCTTGCAAAAACCACACTGAAAGAACCGTTATGGGGGGACAGAACTCACAAGAAGAACGAAATACACGAAAACGACGGTATATCTCACGGAATCCTCCTGTTTATCCATGTACAACCGCCAAAGTAACAGATATACAATTAAGAATGAATGACAAATACCCAAAATATGACACTCTCTCTCTCCCAATCACAAACCCATCTACGAACGCCTCGCCGGTCAAGTCTTAACCAAAATCCAATCCCCTCCTCACCCTCCCTATCTCAATTAATACCCCGCCCCCGGCACAGTCCACGCCACCAAATCATCCCTCACCTCCCCCTCATCCACCTCCCTGGCACGCTTAAACCCGCCCATCTCCCTCCCCCTTTCCGCGTGCAGATCACTCCCCAATGTCGTCGCCGTCGCCAAGCTCACCAAGCTCGAGCTCCGACTACGCAGCCCCCCGCCGTCATGTGTGATCTTGCTGTCCTCGCGGCGATGGTGGGGGTGGTGGAAGGAGGGGAAGGGCTCGCGCAGGCCGGTGCTGCTGCCGTTGACGGTGATGCCGACGCCGACACCGATGCCGCGGCTGGACTCGCGGTCGAGGTCGCGGTCGCGGTTGTAGTCGCCGCCCAACACGGTGGCGTTGCTGCGGTCGCTGGCGGCGCTGGAGTCGCGCAGGTGGCGGCGCAGGCGGGCGACGTCGCGCGGGCGTAGCGTGCCTATCATGTCGCCGTTGTCCGAGGAGGAGCCGCTGTCTTCGCGCCGGAAGTTGTGCCGGGTGCTCGGCGGGCTGTGGTCTCGCCCTGGTCCGCCTCGGCTTTGGCTGTGGCTGGCGGAGGTCGCGTGGTGGTGGTGGTGGTGGTGGTGGTGGTGGAATCGTGAGTGGCCCCGAGTGTGGCGGGGTTTGGGGGATGTTTCAAAACCCTCGCCGCCGCCAAAGATGTTTTCGATGCACTGGTCGGCCGGCAGCTCGCCGGGCTGGCTGGCCCAGCTGGCGGCTAGGGC